CTAGTTTAACTTCTGTGCCAAGAAGCCTTTAGACTTTCTCTGCCTAATAATGCTACTAGCAATTTATTAGGCTTTTGAGATAAGTGTTTCCCTGAGGTTTTGGTGGCAGAGGTGGTATGTAGTTTACATGTTTCCTACTGCTCTTTTCTCATGGGACACTTTCTGTAATAAGCTCTACTCTCACTATATCTGAGTTTGTCCTCACTTCAGTATTAACTCAGAAGTTGCTCTTCATCTGAGTTCTAATTGCAAATACATAAACCTTGAGCTCAGGTGTATGTTAGTAATTTACACTCAAACTAGTGGACCCATGCCATCATACAGGTCTAGGAGCTAAGCCAAAGTGCTGTTTACTCTCACTGTTGGTAACCATGTGGATTCAGGCTAAACTGCCTGAAGGCTTAGTCCCTTAGTGCCTGCATTCTGCAACTACTTGAAAAGAGTGGGAAAGGGACAGACTGCCATGCTGGGAACGAAAGCGAGGCCCTCAGAAGTCCCAGGTGAACACAGAGTATTGCACCTTGCTGTAAGCCAGTACGGCTTTGTAATGGGACAGCTTACTCCAAGTCAAACCAAAGCCACTACTCTCAGCTTCTCTGCAGGGCAGGCATAGCCCCTGTGTGATATAAAGCAGAGTATTTTCTTAGATCTTAAGGTAAATATTTAGGCATCCAATGGCCAGCAGCAAGCAATGATAAAATACTTTTCAACTGCATTTGCAAAATCTGTATTTATTTTTTGTTATCTGTAAGAGGATCTCTAATCTTTGTATCTCTCTCCTAGCAATGTCATACCATGAATAAATCATGATTGCTGGGTTAGCTGTCTAGGTTTCTCTTGACTAGGGAACTGGCTGAGTGTAGATCAAGCTTAGGTAACTTAGCTAGTATAAGCTTGACCTCAGTCTGATTTATTTTGTAGTGAGAATTCCAAGACAATGTCTTCACAAATACAGGCTAGTGTGAGGGAATGTACAAAAACAATAGACCTTTCAAATGTACCTGAAGTGACTTAGTCATGAAAATCACTGAAGATCAATGGAACTCATACTCCTAGATCAACTGGATTCCTATGAAAATGCCAAACATAATCTTTCAATTTGCTTGTATTAGGAGAGGTTCTGCTCAGTCTGAGATAGATCTGGAGTGGGAAGTCACTAGATATTTCAGTTTTATGTTAGTATAAATAAGGAGAATTTGAGCCACTGCTAAAACTGTTCTTCTGTCAAGTGTCAAGCACAGAATAAAGGAAATTACATTGAAAAAATAAAACATGTGGAGTCCATGTTAAGTTTTAATCTCCTAGCACCTGAGATGTGGTTTATTTTTCCCACCACTTTTTTAAGTCCATGCTTGCATCAGTGCAGATTTAAATACAACATGACCTTCAGTCAGTTATTTTGGAGTTCCTGCAACTTTTGGTGTGATTTTTAAATGGATACCCAATCTGCTTGTGATGGTTAACTGTGTGGCTGATATAACGTCCTTTGTGCTGGACATGAAGGTGATGTAAAATGTTTCGAATTCAGAGATGGAGTATTGCCATCTGAGGCTTGGTAGTAGAACAAGGGTCCTTTGGCAGAGTGCAGTATGAGAGTTTCCATGCGACTTACTGGGGGCTGTACAAAGAGGGTAGAGACAGTAGATCCCAGTGTACACTTGAATGACTGTAAGTTAAGCCATTAGACAACTGAGGGTAGGATTTATGCCAGGAATGGATTGCAAAATTTATTTTTCCAAACCAGGATGCAAAGGATCAGATAGACACCAAAGTGTGAAAGAACTTTTTCAGTGGGCTAAGAGGGTGTCTTCGGTTTGCATTTGCCTAGAAGAATGCAGAGAGAGGAAATCTGAAATGCATCTCCCCTAGTCCACAGGTTAGAGATAAAAACACAACTGTTTTTTTCCTCCAAAATGCTTTCTATGTAGACATTTAGTTTTTAGGCAACTCAGTGATTGCAGATTGTCACTCTCACTGTCTCCCAGGATACAGAGTTCTGCTCCTGGAGCTAGTCAGATGATCTGATGAATCCCAAATGAGACATAGCAAAGCCTAGGGACGTCTGGCCTGAGAGCAGAAGATTCAACTTGGAAAGATGGATAATGGCTAAACACACGGTCTAGGTGAACTCAGAGAATAAGCAGGCAGTAGCAGTAGGTAACAGGAAGTAGCAGTAACAACTTGTATTTTTCAGATTTCTCATCTCTTTCCACTGTTGTTTTCAATGGAAAGGCCAGGGAAAGTGTAGATCTTGTTATTTTAACTCCACTCAGATCTTCTCTGATCTAAGAAACATGCTGGTCTAAACTGGCACTGATGCAGTACTTGATGTTTAACTCCCTGTGCAGCAAAGAACTACTCTATCATTGTCTTCAGTGGAATTTTACCTTAAGTATAAATAAGGATTGATTTAAGTATTTGCTTAAGTGATTATCATAGGTGACTCATACCTATAAGCACCTTTGAAATACCAGCATTTCAAAGCAGCATATAGAATTAGTGGGGAAGGATTCCACAGCATTGCAGTAAAAATAAAAGTGTTGACCCCAGAGCCTTGGTTTTGCGGTATCTCCTAGGCAGGCTGTTGTGTACTTGGGTGGGTGGGTGTAGATCAGAAGGGCACAGGCCTTCCCTACACTTCCAGCATGTTCGCTGTCCCCCACTTCTAGATGGAAGGTGCTGCAGTAAAGAAAACAGCAGATTTTCAGCAATAACTCTCTATTTTCATTCATGGTCTGTTTATCTTTCGTGGATTGTATTTTACTATGTTCTTTCACAAACTAACAGGCACTATACTTACCACAAATATAAATCAGTAGCAAAATCCACTGGAATATCTCCATCTGTATAACTAAAGAAAAAGGCCAAAATATTTTACATCTTACAGTTAAAACAATTCATTAACAATAAATAGCTCATGTAACTGCAATTAACTTAATGGATGATTTCTTCATAGTTCTGTCATTTCTAAATATTTATATGTTTATAACTGCAGGCAAACACATTGCAATCCTAAAATCTGCTCTGCAATTTTATGCTGCAGTGTATAGTCCAACCATGTATGTAAACCTCACGTATATGCCTATATTTCCCAAAATCATAATATAAATTTCAAACCTTTAAATTGGGTTTACACTGTGCTTCTGGATGCAGCTGAACTTTGTATATAAGAATGACATCATTGTTTCTGGAGTTATTAGCCTACATGAAAAGAGGAAAATCAGAAGCAGACTTTTAAGAGGAAAATATCAAACAAAATAAATGGTTTGAACACAATATATGATGCTTTTGGGTGCTATAAACATTTTATTGTTACTTGTTTGGGAAGAACTGCATAACTCACTGGGGCTCCACAATTCGTGAGTAATGCAGCCATCTCAAAATCTAGCAGATTTATCAGTCATGGTGTTCAAATGAAAATCTGGGATCTAATTTCCTCCTAAGCCCTTATAAATTTGACCCAGTGTTTAACTATGTCTCATCTGCATGTGTTTCCTTACACTTACATAAGACACAACTTGAATTAAAAAGTGTAATTTGATAGGAATATTTTAGTGCAGGAGTACTAAAATCTAGTTGTAACTTCTATTTTAAAGAGCACTGGAAACTTAAGAAAACTGTCACCAATAGCAGTAATTACAGGAGATACGGTATTTGAGTTAGAGATTTTTTGCTAGAAATTAACAATTGTTCATATTATTAATTCTGCATAGACAATAACTCATGTCTAGATGAAGTGCCAGCACGACTGCCATTCCACTGAGCCTCACTCTGCTCTTTGACACAGGGCCACGTTTCATCCTCCATTTACAGGCAGTGGAGAGAGGCACCAGACTGTGATTTTCTGGGGTTGCCTGGACACTTTGTGGCAGTGGACCCCGCCTGCCCGGACTCTGCTCCGGTAAGGTGATTAAGCCCAGCTATATGCACACCAGCTGGCCTCTGTAGGTCCTTACTATACTGATCCTTGCAACAGCATCTCAGCCTGCTAACTACTGCCCTACAGAGGATAGTGCTATAAGCCAGCTACATACCTGGCAGTCCCTGGGTCTTCCAGTGTTTTGCTTCATTTGTGAGACTAGCGTCTTCCAAATGAATTCTGCAACAGCACCGCTGCTGGATGGAAGGCTGCCTGACAGATCAGCAGAAAGCATTTCGCTGGGAAAGTTTTCTGTAAATAACGCCTTTGTTGATTTTTGCCTCAACTTCACCTATTGTTATTATTTCCAAATTATGTGCCTGACGGCGTGCAGAGGCTTTTTCCTGCTCACAGACATCCTGCTCCTCTGTGTGACCAGAGCATTTTCCTGTTGCATCCAGTCGTGACATTGCAACTAAAGGCTTGTGGTGTCCCGTGTGGCGGCCGCAGCCGGAGCAAAGACATGTGGGAAGACCCACTCCTATTCCCATGCAAATTTTCTTGTTACTATTAACTGTTGTTTCAGAAAGGGAGCAGAAACCTAGCCCCCGGAGGAGTGCCAAGGCTCGCTTTTGGGGATTAATTTTAAGGTGGTGGCAGCAAAGACTCCCCCCGAAAGCGCTAAGAGCCGAGTGCTTCAGGCAGCCGCAGCCGCCTCGCAGCCCACCCGGGTCTGCAGTGCGAGTGATTTGAGCGGCCGCCCCGCGGGGGCCAGGGGAGCGCCGGCGAGCGGAGCGCTCCCGGCAGCTCCCGCAGCTCCGGGCCGGGCCGGGCCGG